ACCATGCACCCAAGGTTACCTGGGACTCTTGACTATTTCCTACCTCCTGGTGGATAGCTAAATAATCTTCATCAGGTTCGTCTTCTTATTTAGCTTCTCTAGGATCACGAATAATAGGCTCAAAGACCTTTAATTATGGTTAGAATCCACTTATGAGTGAATACATACCGTGATCATCTTTTTGGGTCTGGTTTACCTCACTCAAGAGACACATATTCACTAAGAATTGTAATCCTATCTCAAGTGAAACAAAGCATGATATTGTTTCAATGCATAGGGCCAGAAGGACAGAGAGGAAAGCTGAGGTCATATGTGACCTTAGTGTATACCACCTTAAAATATCCTTCCTAGAATTATGAGTTTCTAGGACTGCAGGGATGTTAATCTGGGTATTCTGTTGCTGAAGCAGGTTACAACCCCATAAATTCACTGCAATATTAGGTAATAGGAAAGGTATATTCTGGCGTACCTCTATAATTGATCAAGGACCAAAGCTAAGAGTGCAACAAATGGAGTTGGTACAACTGGATGTCAACATTTAGAAGAATGAAAATAGAAATATATCTATCCCCATGCACAAAACTCGGGTCCAAATGGATTTAATGCCTCAATGGAAAACTGATCACACTGAACCTGATTGAAGAGAAAGTGCCTGATTAATGGGCACAGAAAACCCCGTCCTGAATGTAATACCAGTAGAACAGTCACTGAGAGCAACAATAAATAAATGGGACCTCCTGAAACTGAGAAGCTTCTGTAAATCAAAGAATATAGTCAATAAGACAGAAAGAAAGTCTATTGAATGGAAAAAGATCTCTACCAAACTCATATCAGACAAAGGACAGATCTCCAAATATATAAAAAAAATAGACATCAAATTTCTAAGTAACCCAATTAAAGGATTGGGTACAGAATTAAATAGAGAACTTTCAACATGGGAATCTAAAATGGCTGAAAGATACTTAAGGAAATGCTCAACATCCTTAGCCATCTGGAAAATGCAAATCAAAGCAAATCTAAGATACCATCTTACACCTGTCAGAATGGCTAAGATCAAAAACACCAATGATAGCTTATGCTGGAGAGGATATGAAGTAAGGGGACCCTCCTTCATTGCTGGTGGGAATGCAAACTTGTACAACCACTTTGGAAATCAGTATGGCAGTTTCTCAGAAAATTGTGAATCAACCTGCATCAGGATACAGCAATACAATTCTTGGGTATGTACACAAAGGATGCTCTATCATACTACAAAGACATTTGTTTACCTCCCTTCATAGCAGCATTATTTGTAATAGCCAGAACTTGGAAGAAACCTAGATGTCCCTCAATCAAAGACTGGATAAGAAAATGTGGCACATTTCTACATTAGAGTACTACTCATAGGTAAAAAAAAGACACCTTGAATTTTGCA